TTCGAAAAAATTACTTTGCCCGATTTTTATTTTTCCGTTCTCCTCAAATTATTCCCGTTCGGAGTCATATTCGGACAAGATATGAAAATAATGGGAGTCGGTGAAAAACTCCATTTTGTTTTGGGCGATGTTAATCCCCTTGGAGAAAATGTGACGAATCTATTGAAATTGAGAAGGCCAAGGGGTATAACGTTCATCTGGAAAAATGTAAGATAATGATGATGATGAGGAGGAGAAGAAGAAGAAAAACAAATAAATTAATTAATATATCCCGCCATTTTGAATTTATTCCTTAGATATTGTACCTTCAATCCGTTTTGTTCGAATTGGAAATTATTAGTAGATCGTGTAAAACGTCACGGAATTCGGAACAAAGGACGCAGTCGGACGAATCTTTGGCTCTTGTTGAGAAAAAAGGAAGCCATCATCATCATCATCAAAATTTGAAAAGTATTCTTCTTAAAGGTCAAATGTTTTATTTGAAAGATATAAAATCCGTTATTTTTCTATGCAGTCCCCTGTAAGTATAAAAATATTATTTAATTGATACTAATTAAATTGAACTCATGTAATAACACATACATTCTCTCTCTCTCTCTCTCTCTCTATCTATGCCTTTTTCTCTCTCTCTCTCTCTATCTATCTATGCCTATCGCTCTCTCTCTCTCTATCTATGCCTTTTTCTCTCTCTCTATGCCTCTCTCTCTCTCTATGCCTCTTTCTCTCTCTCTCTCTATCTATCTATGCCTATCGCTCTCTCTCTCTCTCTCTAACACTCAAAATGCCGTAGGATGGTTTTAGTTTTGTTTAATATTAAAAAAAAAAATTTATCCTTTGAATAAATCAATTGTTATTCAATAAACGTTTCAATGTTTTAAATATTACTTTCTTACCAAGCCCCAATTTATAAAAATAAACTTGAAATGCCGGAAATCCAACAAACTTTTTTTTCTTTTTGAAAAAATTCTTTTTTATGTAAATATAATTTTTGCCAGAAAGTTTTTCCTTTTACAAATCTATTTCTCAACCGACGCATCTGTTATAACTAAAAGAAAAATTTAAATTTACAATTTTCCACTCGACAAAAACGTTTTTTTTTCCTTTTCGTTTCAGTATCAACGATTTGGACGAACTACCAAATATGGGCCTTTATTTAAACGATTTAAATAT